AGGACTTGGGATATTTACTAATGAAAGTCAAATAATATAGCCTTCAATACTGATTACAACTCACTGTAGAGAAAACAAAAATCCTCAATACAGGACCTATAAACAATATTGTAATAAAAGGAGAAAACAAGGAAGGTGTCAAGGATTTGATTTTACTTGGAATTATAATCAATACTGATTGAATTATAATCAAGCAATCTAATGATATATTGTACTGGGCAAATCAGCTGCAAGAGACATTTTTTGAAGTTTTAAAGAGCAAAGGTAAGGTGTACCTGATGTATGTCATGGTATTTTTAATCAATTCATAGGCATATGAAATCTGGACCAGAGAGAACTGATGAAGCTCAATTATATATTTGCAAAGAATGTTAAATGTGCCATGGACAGCTAAGCAAAAGAACAAACAAATCTGTCCCAGAAGAAGTACGTCTGAATGCTCTTTAGAAGCCAGGATGATGAGACTTCATCTCATACTTTGGACCTTTAAAAAAGGAGGGAACAGTTCCTGGGAAAGGACATCATGCTTGGTAAAATAGAGAGTCATCAAAAAAGAGTCAGGATATGGGTTGACACAGTGGCTACAGCAATGGGCTAGAGTACAGGGATGATCGGGATGGTGGTGCAGAAATTGGCAGTGTTGTGCATAGGGTCACTTTGAGATGGAACCTACTCCAGGGCACCTAACAACAGAAAGAACAACAACAACATTTGTTTCTTCATTTGTATCCTTACTCACTTGGCACCCACTTTCTAAAAATTGCTATGATTCGCCCATGTAAACCAGAGATTTTCCATCTAAATGTAGCCCTGATTCTGCATAAAAAAGTCTGTATTTACAATTCTAAGTGTTCTTTTCCTCTACGACAGGACCTTCAAACTTATTTCAGACCCCTAGAATAACTATTCAATATACACAAAGCTACTACAAAAAAGAGGTAAAATTCAAACCCTGTTTACCTAATTCCAAATTTTTACCTTTAGTTGTTATGATCTCTAAATGCCTACTATTCAAAGAATTTAGTGGGATTTTCTGAATCACTATCATTTCTTTCTCTCTGGCATATTATGACAGCTTAAGGCCAATGTAGATGAAACATTAATGGGATGAAGATATCTTAGAGATGAATTTCCTCAGAGTGCCCATCATGTCCTTATTCCTCAGACTATAGATGAATGGGTTCAGCATGGGAGTGACCACAGTGTACATCACTGATGCAACTGCACTCTTCCTAGAGGAGAGGGTCACTGCCGAGCTAAGATACAACGCAAAGCACGTCCCATAGAACAAGGACACAACAGAGAGGTGAGAACCACAAGTAGAGAAAGCTTTATACATTCCACCTGCTGATGACATTTTCAGGAGGGAAGAGACAATTTTCATGTAAGAGAAAATAATACCAAGGAAAGGTCCACCACCCAAAATGCTAGTCATAAAATATAGCAGAATATTATTGATGAGTGTATTAGAACAGGCTAGTTTCAGGATCTGAACAAGTTCACAGAAAAACTGGGGGATTTCTAGGTCTATGCAGAAGGACAGATGTAACACCATCAGACTGTGGAGAAGGGCATTTATAATGCTAAAAAACAAGGAGATAATAATCAGCAGTGCACAGAGGTGGGGGTTCATGATGACCGTGTATCTTAGTGGATGGCAAATGGCTGCATACCGGTCATAGGCCATTACTGCAAGAAGAAAATTTTCCAAACCAGCAAAAATGAGAACAAAGCAGGTCTGG